CATTTGTCTGTCTGATGACCTCATGTTGACTTGACATGAATTTCTTGTCATAAATATGTGGAGCACAAGAGAAAGGCAGATGTCTGAATCCAAAAGAAAATGTCTATCAGTATAAATTATCCCAGTTTTGCATTTTAGAATATTATGCATTTGGAAGGCATGAATACATTTAATACACCATGAAATTAACAATAATGAAGTGTCATTATTTTGTTTCTTAATTTAGCTTGTACCAAGAGCATCTTTTAATCAGAAAACCTTATTATGTTATTTTATTTGAAAAACTTAACCTGACAATGGCCAATGTAAACGTATCACAATAATATATTTTGAACAATGTTTACTGAGATGTCTCCCATATGGCTAAGGAGTTATTGGGGCTCCCTATTAAGGAATAAAAACTGGTTAATGTTATTCCAGGCAGCTGCTTTATATTCATCAATTGTACTCCTCTCCAACAATCTCTTCCCACCTTAAGGGATTTTTATTTATCTTAACAAATTTTTGATGTCCTATGAAAATCCATTCACAATACTTGACACATTAATTTTGAACAACGAGACTCTCTAGTCAAAATACATAAACAATAATATACATTACATTTAAAAAATCAATTTTAACATCATTTTGATCAGTCAACAACTTGGTAGAAGCAAATCTTTAATTTAGGTAACATTTATCTATAAGCCAAATTAGATGAGAGACAATTGCTTCAAAAGTGAAAAAAACAGAAAAAGAAAAAAATTTGTTGAGCTTAAATAAAACAGCTGTTTATAGATTGGACAGACAGAGAAACAAACAACACACAAAACAATTTTCTTATAAAATTAGAATGCTCTCAAATACATTTTGGCCAAATTGAATCATAACAATTTCTTGTGATCTAGGAATGGGGCTATTTGCTGAGTAACTTCCCATACATACACACCAGTGTCTATTGAAATCTAACAGATTTTTCCCCTACACTGGTTAGCACGGGTTCCCTGAGGCCGAAAGACAGATCAATCTGAAACTTCCTCTGATTCCATCACAAACACTTTCCTTTTCTAGTAGCTTTGGACGTTCCTGTTTGTAGTGTCCTTTTTCCTTGTGATAGGCACACTGGTCTGCATCTAGAGGAGTGTGACGACCTCTCCCTGTTTGTCTCTTCTCCTAGCTCTTGACTGGGCCTCCTTCTTGTAAGCTGCCAACACTATCTTTCTCTTTCCTGCTTAAATCTCCATTCTGCAGCCTCTCTATTATGAAACAATTTTGGGGCCATCTCTACCAGTTGCAACAAGTTCATCCCTGAAATACCTTCCAATTTCTGGAGCTCAAGATACTTCTGCCACCTTATGTAGGTTGGGGGGCAATGAGCCACAGACAGAAGCTCTTTCCTCAAAGCCCAGTGATTTTTTGAAAGCATTTAGCCCCTCCTCAGTGTTGTAATCCCA